GCCCCGCATTATCAGCCCCACCTTGACGCGACAAACGCACGTTTCACGTGACCAATCTTCTGAAGCACCGTCTGTTTTCCTCTTTGTTACGATCTTCTTCCTGTAAACATAAAATTTCGTCCTTGTGGTCTTCTACCGGATCTCCTTCCTGTAATGTCCTGCGTCTGCTTGCCATTACTCAAGAACCCCTCTGCCTCCCAGTTCTGACCCCCGTGGACCTCCCGTCCCCGGCTGTACCTGAGGTTACCATGGCGCCGCCGGCAGGGGTCGGAGGTAACCCTCCGTGACTTCTTCAATCACCGGCAATTAACCGCATCTTCACCATCAACCTGTCGAAGACGGAGCTCCACGCTATCAACAGTGTTCAGCCGCCTCAGCTAGATCCCAGTATCTTCTCATCCGCGACCTCTCTCTGAGGCGGGACTGTCTTTGTCGCCGGCTTCAGCAGCTATCTCCCTTGAAATGGTGCGATGCTCCGTCCTGCCCTGGCCGTGATCATACGGCAGCGCAATGTCTTACTGGCTGTGGCCCTAATCAGCCTGGCCACGATATGGAGCTGCCGCCTCCCTCGCCTTTGCATATTCGACCAGTGCAACGCCGACATCACTGCTGGTCCTCTCGCTCACCGCAGGATCGACCTCTCTGATCCCGAGGCACCGTTCATAGGTTGGCCCCTGGCAAGAGTCTGCTCCGAGACGACGTGGATAGATGGCCTGGTCTTCATTTGCGACGAAAACTCAGGCGGCATCGGCAACATTCGGGGCTACATCCTGACTTGCATTCGGTATGCCATCGAAGCTGGGGCAACTGGGTTGGTCATGCCCCAGATTAGGACGAGGTCGGACAAGAACCTGGCGGAAATCATGCAGCACTATCGCGGGTTCGACTATTTCTTTGACGAGGGCCACTTCAGGACGAGTCTCACGGCCAGTTGCCCGCGGATGGCGATTTACAACAATACTTGGAGCATCCCGAACTTCAAGGAGCCGCATCAACCGGAAAAGATCACGCCGAAGGACGAGTTTGGGCTGAGGGGAGGATGTGACAAGCGGGATCTGAATCGGCACAGTGATCTCTTTAGGACCCGGTTCCGTCAGTGGCTCGTGGACAAGGCCAACAAGTTCGACTTTCCCCCCACAAGCCCAAGTCATCCACGGATCATCCGCTTGAACTGGGGAGTCCAGTTGGAGATCCCGGTCTACCGCGACGGGCCGGAGTTTGTTGCTACATACGGCGGCCTGCTGAGATTCCACAAGGACATCCTTCGGCTAGGAAAGAGGACTGTCAAGCTGATGCAGGAGTTCGCCGCGAATGCTGGCGGAGGTACTACAACGGGCGGATTTGCTGGGTTCCACCTCCGCACTGAGCACGACGCTCTCGCCGGCTGGCCATCATTCGAGAACCAGACAACCGCATATCTCCGTGAAGCATCCAGTCGAGGGTTTAAGGCGGCTTATTTAGCGACGGGAAACGCAACAGAGGCAGCCAAGCTCGTCGAACGCGCTCGCTCCCAGAACAACATGGTTGTGGTGACCAAGCACGACCTCCTGAAGAAGAGCGCGGCCGATCTGCTACCTTTGCAAGCCCTGACTTGGGACCAGCAGGCGCTGATCGACTTCATCGTGCTGCTGGCGAGCGACTTCTTCCTCGGCGTGAACCCGAGCTCTTTTAGCATGAATATCGCGCTGAAGCGCCATCTGCAGATGGAGGGTCTCTATACAAGACCTTGGAAGGTTGGACGGGACGACGGTCGAAGCTTGATTGTGGGACGGTTCGAACGTTATTGGGATGATTGGCTATTTATGTATGATTCCATTTGGCCGTGAGAAACGATGCACTCGCCTTACGGCCAGCCTTGTGCCAGTTTTCCCGCAACGGTTGCCTCTTTCAGAAGGATTAACGAAACCACAACATCAACACGCAGAGCCAGGCATGGAAGGACGCTGCGCTGGGGCCTCAAAATAATCGAACAGTAGTGCCAGATGCGCGTTGATGCCTTCAATTTCGTCTCTTATCGATCACCTAGGCATTGCATTCGCATCCCCCTCAAAGACATGCTCCCAGCTGTATTTCCCATCGACATGTGGTTACAGCCTCGAAGACGACTTGCACTAACATCACGCGGTGCTTGCGCACCTCCGCTAATCGAAAGGCCGCTGACATGCAAGCCTCCCATCAGGCGTCCCAACTACCCAATTGTCAAATGACCGTCCATCACCGCGATGATGCACCTCCGTACAACGCCCTCTCCTGTGTCTGGGGCGACCCAAATGTGACGCGCCCCATTACCGTTAACGGGGTGTCTGTACAGAAGACTACCAATCTCATCGCCGCCTTGACCCGGCTGCGCGATCTCCACGAAGACATCTACTACTGGATAGACGCGATATGCATCGACCAGCAGGACAACGCAGAAAAGAGTTCGCAGGTCCCGCTGATGGGAGAGATCTACAGCAAAGCCGTGGAGGTGACGGCTTGGCTTGGTGAAGGCTCGGATGACAGTGATATTACGATGGACTTCCTGGCGCAATGGTGCCTGGTCGGCTCCCGAAAAGATGCTTATGAAGCTGGACTACTCAAAGACCGTGGCGGAGGTCTTCACCGATTTCGCTCTTTCGAAGATACAGGTTAGCGGCAGTCTTGGGCCGATCTATCTGCTCCCAGATATCTTGCCTCGGACCCGACCAGGTCTGCCGACATGGGTCCCCTACTTGGCCTCGGACACAGCACATCTTACCCAAGGGCTTACAAGTACCTGGACGGCGAGTTTCGGGCAGCCGGGACCTCGAAACCTTTATATGAGCTATCACGCAACCGCAGGACCCTCGAAGTCTGCGGAGCCCAACAGTGTATCATTGACGAGGTCGATACTGGAGCGGCGCTGGACGGGGCCCCGTCTTACCCGGAGACAGTAGCCGAAGTACTACCCCGTTGGCTCGCTCTGGCCCAGAAGCATCCGCGGGGCCAAACATATACGGAGTTTGACCTCCAGCAAACTTTCTTTCGCACCATCTGCCACGACGACAGCAAGACGGGACCTCCACACTGTCTGCCCCGAGGGATAGCGAGTATCAAATTTCTCGCGGATATGGCGTGGAGCTATCTCGCCTGGGAGTCGCAGCCGGGCCCGCAGCGTGAGATGCCAAACCTCATCCACGTCGGTCCGCTCATAAATGCTCACAATGTCGCCACTGGAGTCGATTACCATCCACATTCAATCACGTCCGGTCTTCCGACCCTACTGCCTGGATCAGCGACACACCTGGCGCCCGTCACGACGACGGGGCGTTGCAAGCGAGGAGATTCGTTGGAGACTTCGCCCGGCTGGCGAAGACTACGACTTTCTTCGCGGGCGGCTACGGCTACATTGGGAAGGGTCCCAGGGGCACTCGACGGGCGATATAGTTTGCGTCCTCATGGGTGCCGAATGTCCGCTCGTGTTGCGTCCGCGGAGCAAATACTACGCCGTCGTCGGGCCGTGTTACGTTTGCGGCCTCATGTTTGGACAGACCGCTGAGGACGTGGAGACGGGGTTGCGGCGGGTTGAGAGGTTCAGGCTTCGATGAGGTCACACGCAATGAGCAGATGTTGTGAGGTCTCACAGAGCTTCCTCTTTCTGCTTTCTGCCAGTCCGCCGCTTCCGGGACGTTCTCCCTCGACCGTTCAAGTTCAACAAGCACGCCCCAACCCACGAGATGCGACAACTGCACCCAGCCCCCCATCCCACCTACTTGAGCTCAATAACAATCTCCCCCTCCCCATCCGGCACATCGAACCCCTCGACATACCGATCCAACAACTGCTTACTAATCTCCAACGCCCCATCCCCATCAGTACTCGCTCCCTTCGCCTTCCTCTCACAGATCCGCCTCCACAATACGTTCCTCTCGGCCTTGAAGTACACCAACACCCTCCTCGCGCCCGCCTCCTCAACCTCGGCCAGGACGGCGTCCCGGTCCGCCTTGGCGTAGTGCGAGCGGTCCAGCATGATGTCCTTTCCTTCCTTGAGGAGCTGTCGGAAGGTGGCGTCGTAGATCTCGTCTGCCTCGAGTTCGAAGGCGGCGTGGGCGCTGGGCGGGTAGTCCACGCCGTAAAGACCGTGGCGTGAGGCGATGATTTGGTCGATTGAGATGCGGGTGAAGGAGGGGTATGAGGCCGCGATGGCTTTTGAGAGGGTGGATTTGCCTGAGCCTGTGGCACAGAGGCGTCAGTAAGGCTTGCGTGCGTTTGAGGTGGCAGAGGGCACACTCACCTGCGATGCCGCATGTCATTACCACGACTGGTCTGGGGTCTTGTTCAGTGCGGAGAAGTCGAGACTTCACCTCTTCCGGGATTATCTGTCCAGCTGCTGCCATCTTGACATGTCAATCGAGGATATGTCTCTGAGGGGATTTGTACGTGCTGATAACGATTTGGGATCTATTAAGTGTTTCGTTTGCAACACTTATAAGCTTAGGTCGAAGCCGGGTGACTCAATGTCGGAGGAACTTCTTGAGTCACCCACTGGGTGCTGACTTCCACCACTCGTTGTTACCCTCGACGCATGATCCGATTGACATGGAATTGACACGCGCAAACAACAGAAGCTACAACACCGGCAACAGACAACAACAAAGGCAATTCTTTGTCAAGTACCTCGAGATGTTTCTTGTTCTCACATCGACCTACCCTACACCGTTTCCCATCAACGCCTACCCTACACATCTACCCCCCACCACGACGAGTCGCAAATGCCAAGACCCATCACGGCCGCCGTCGATCGCCATCTTCGCCTTGCAATCTCCATCTTCACATTGACCAAATTCACCACTCAGGACACCATCTGTCTCTCTGTCAACTGTGTCTTCGCAACCAGCATGGTCGTCAGGCGCAAGGAGGAAGGAACTCCTACAATGCGCGAGTCATGTCCCATCCATCGCCCATCCACTCCACAGCAAGCACAGTCCACTTAGGGCATGCTACGGCGAGAAAACTTTCATCAAACCAACCAAAAACGTATCGGTGAGATGGCCGAGCGGTCTAAGGCGCCACGTTAAGGTCTCATAACCCTTAAAACACAACACATGTTATCCGTGGTCCGAAAGGGCGTGGGTTCGAATCCCACTCTCATCAGTTATTTTTGCCTTTGTGCCCCCCTATGAGGGGGGTCGTTGGGGGTGGTGATGGCTTCCCTTTTTGCGCTGGGCGAGAGCGGCGGATAGTCACGTGGAGGGACGAATGTTGAATGTTGAAGGCCTGGCTAATTTTACACTGGTTTGCAACGTCGGTGCAGGCTGGAAGTCTCTGGTACCACTAAGCCGGCGGCAGAATGACGGACGACCTCCCTCCGTGCTCATCCCGGCTGCATCTCCACATGTTGGAGTTCAGCCTCCAACCACACCTCCAACCGTACCAACGGTGCGGAGAAGTGACACTACTATGGGACGTTCCTTGGGAAACGACCACACACGGGATGCTGTATAAGATGTGCTCCATGGTTCATGCGCGGAAGATAGAGCAGGACTTCCGCGTATGCCATCGACTACCGTGGCCATCATAAACAAGAAGAGCAACCGGGCCAGACTTCAAAATGCGCCTCGCCCACGGACTAGCAGCCCTCTGGGCGACCTCCATCCACGCCGCGACCCTGCAAAAGATCGAGGCCGACTTCCCCAACCCAACAAACGTAGGCTTCTACCTCTACGTCCCGGACACTCTGTCCCCCAACCCGCCCGTCCTCGTGAGCCCGCACTGGTGCCACGGCGACGCCCTGGCCGTCTACAAGGGCTCCTCCTTCGCGTCTCTGGCCGACAGGTACGGCTTCATCGTCATCTACCCGGACTCTCCCAACGCGGCGGACAAGTGCTGGGATGTTTCTTCAAGGGGCACGCTGTCCCACCAGAGTGGCGGGGGGGACAGTCAGGGGATAGTCAACATGGTAGCTTGGACCGTCAAGCGCTACAAAGCCGATGCCGGACGGGTGTTCGTCACGGGCGTCAGTTCGGGGGCGATGATGACTAATGTCCTGCTGGGTGCCTACCCGGACGTGTTCGCGGCGGGCACGGCGTTTGCTGGCGTGCCGTTCGGGTGTTATGCCGCTCCGGACGGCTCAGCCGACTATTGGAACTCCGACTGCGCGACGGGCCTCGTCACGCACACGGGCGCAGAGTGGCGGTCCATCGTCCAGGCGGCGTACCCGGGTTACAACGGGTGGAGGCCAAAGGTGCAGGTCTTCCACGGCACGGCGGACGAGGTGCTGAACTACACCAACTTCGGGGAGGAGGTGAAGCAGTGGACCTCCGTGCTGGGGCTGTGCGGAAGCAAGCCGGCGAAAACGGAGGAGAATAACCCTTTCCCCAATTGGACGAAGTATGTCTATGGGAAGGATGGGTGGCTGGAGGCGTATAGCGCGCTGGATGTTACGCATAATATTGGGAATCACGAGGATGTGGCGATGAAGTGGTTCGATTTGACGTGTACGACGGGGAACTGCTTCAGATGGGGGCAGGGAGGACCGAAGGGGGACTCGTTGTTGAATCAGACTCCTGCTTTCTAGCGGACGGAGGACCGCTCGTCAACGGGATATAGGCGGATGTACCGTCAATGCAATGGTATTGCTCGCCACAATATGCTGCATGCTGTGTTGTAGAAAGAAGCGAAAATGCTCAGTTTGTTACGCCAGGTCGTGCTGCCAACGAAGCCCGTAGCTGGACCAGTCAACCCCGCAAACTCGGGGTATTCCCTCAAGCCAACGCCTTGACCTGCCCCTTCGACTCTAACAGACCCTCCAGGAACTGCAAATCGGCAAATGCCTCCTCGGGCGTCTGCAACGGGTCAGGGGTTTTGCTCTCCAGACTCTTGCCGAACACAGCCACCTCGGCCTTCACGCCAGAGCTGTACTCGAACTTCTGGCTCTTGTCAGACACCTTGACCTCCTCTTGGGTCCAGGTAACCGTGCCGTTTGTGGTCACAATCTCCACCTCGAGTCCCTTCTTGTGCTCGGTCCCGAAGCTGATGGTGATGGTTCCCTTGGCGCCGGACTTGGTCGATACTACAGCGTGGACGGTGTCGTGGGGCCCGAGTCTGTCTACCAGCAAGTCGGCGAAGGAGACCACTTGGTTGACTTCCTCGCCCGCAGCGCCCAGAAGCAGCCTTAGGCCAGCGACGAAGTGCACTCCGCCGTCGAGCAGGAAGCCGCCCTGGTAGCCGGGGACCTTACGCCCTGCACACTGTCAGCCCTCCCATCTTCTTCGACCAAGTTTGGGGCACTCACACTCAGTATTGAAATACTTATCACTCTCCCTCACAAAACCATACCTCTTCAAATGGAAGGTAACCACCTTCCCGCCCAACCTCTTCACCTCCTCCGCCGCCTTGACCAGACTCTCGGTATACCTAAAGTTCTCCGCCACAGCCCAGATAGGCGGGCTGTTCAACCCCCTGTACCAGGCAATCAGGTCCTTCGCCGTCGCGACGTCCTTCGCGACCGGCTTCTCGCTGAGCACGTGCTTCCCGGCCGCGATGGCCTTCTTGATCACCTCGGGCTGGTTGTTGATCGGCAGGACCACAATGACGGCCTCGATGTCCTTGCGCGCGAGCAGGTCGTCGAGGGACTTCCCCGGCGAGGAGGAGGGGCTGTCGAAGTACTTGTCCACCGGCTTCGATGCTTGGCTCGCGAGGGCGTCGGCGGAGGCTTGGGAGCGGGAGTAGATTGCTAGGAGGTCGAGGCTGGAGGCTGCTTCGATGGCGGGGAGGTGTTCTGTGTTTGTGATGTCAGCTTGGCGGGCCCGGAGTTGACTCCGAGAGGAGTTTGGGGGCGGCGGTGCGTATTCGTACCTTCGCGGGCAAAGATGCCTGCGCCGAGGAGTGCGATTCCGACCATTTTTTGGGAAAGTGATGATTCCAAAGTCTTCCAATTGGGTTCTGTCGTAAGCGGGGGGAGGTTGTTGGTCCTTCTGAGAGAGTACCTTGTCAGCTTTATAAGGAGAGCGAGCTTCGAGCGGGGGAAATGATGCGGATGTCGCGATGTCGAGCTGACCTCCCGTCTTTTTGCGCTACGTCACCCACTCATTGACTCTCGTCGCTTTTGCCAAGTCCTGCTGCGGCTTTCTCTCCGCCCGATTACTAAGGATGGGGATTTGTGAAACCCCTGACGCGACAACGAATGGATTCTGTCAGTTACCTGATTACTTGCGAGGAATATGTCCGAGAAATGGAGCGATTCTGCTCTGCTCGCCGTTGACTCACCTTTTAGGAGATGTTGTCATCTACGATCCACGAGGATGAAGGTGTCTTCAGACGTCTACCATAGGGCGCGCGGGACAGCCTGTTGACGGCCTGTTAAGAGCTCATTGGCAAGACTCAAGAGCCTGCCAAAGAACTATATCTCCGCGCTATGCTCGGGGATATTTGCGACCTTCTGGGCTGCCGGTCGGCAACGGCTAAACATCGCGACCGCGGAGGCGGAGTTGCCAGATCGGGCACAAGCGATGGATTTTGGATCTTCGGGACCTACAACTACCAAGTGGTAGAGATCGTGGAAGTTGCGCGGGGGGAACACCTGCCAGGAGGACTTGGTGACGAAGGACGGAAGGGGAAAGGAAGGGATACGTCGATTGCGACGCGCCGACGAAAGGCTCGAGTAGCTAGGCTGGAGCACCTCTCTTCTCCACCCCGAACATCACGTCTTGATGGCGGCAGGGACTCATTATACGCCGGCATTGGTGTTATCTGATAACGACAAGGTCAACAGTGCACGAGATTGCTGTTATTGTAACTACTGCTTGCCGTTTCTACGGCTAACGAGCAACGAATGACAGGGAAAAGCAAACAACAACATATGGCCGCGGAAGCTCGAGGTCTTCCCCTTACTCTTCATCCTCACCGGCCGGGTTTGGAGTTATAAGCCACACCATCTAACAGTGGCCAGCATTGGGATCCGCACTACAACCGCACCTTTAGCAATGACCTCGACCACTCTACTCCCTCCCTCAGCATCAAACTCACCGGAAGCGCCACCCAGCAACATCAGACTGACCCCCCTGGGCACAACCATTGATCTCGTTCTCCAGACGCCAGACGCAGTCCGCATCCGCCAAGTCGAACGAGGCGCCCGTGTTCAGGTTCTGCACCACGAAGTCGTACTTCAGCGTGCCCGTGCCTTGGACGCAGGCAGACTTTGCCTCGCCGGGCGCGTAGACGCCCTGGAAGGCGCCCTGGTGGCCGTCGTAGCCCTTGCAGGCGCGCTCGACGTGGTAGCGCGCGTTGCCCCTGTCTTGCCAGCTGTCGCCGCTGGTGTAGCACCCGGCGTTGGCGGTGGTGGTGCCGGTGGCCAGGAGGGCGAGGATGGTGGAGATGGCTGTGGTCTTCATCTTTGTGAGCTGGGAATGGAGTGACGTTGGAGATGATTGTGGGAGGTGAGTGGTTCTGATGAGGAGCAGAGAAGGCATGAATTGGCCGGCGACAGAACTACTTTATATACCCGGGAGAAGTCTCCCTGGCCGGTCTTTGTGCTCAGCGAGCAGGTAGCGACTGTCGCTCAATCGCCGTGGACTCTCAGCTTCATGCAGAGGTATGTTATCTCCGGTTCCTGTGTCCAGCTCTCGATCCTACCTGTAAGAGATCGGGCTGAGCTTCGTCTGGGCTCGGCGATGGCAATCGGGCTCTCGGGTGTTCCACTGGAAGACGGTGGGAGAGGCAAGACAGTGGACCATGCGGGAGAGAGTGGTGTAAGTGCACTTCCTTTTTGCCCCTTCTCGTTGTCGAAAGTGCCCGTTTCACGACATGAAGGACTTACCGGTGTTACGGGATCCTTTGCACTAAGTGTCTCTTCGTGCAACGGAGACGAGACCCGCGGGCTATAACTCACATCAAGCGCAACCTTGCCTGAGCTAGAGGTCGATGGATCTTATTTGCTCAATTGGACGGTGTATGGCCATAGTCTGGTGATACTCGGTATACGGCGCTGTTCTCAGGATTCTCGGCATAGCACGACAGGAGCTGCGGATGCGGATGCTGACAGTAGGACACAGATATCGAGACGTTTACCAGGAACATTGGCACATATCGGGAACATGTCAATTGGACCACCTTATTCTAGCATCCTTGCGACCCGTCTACCGGGTTATGACCCC